TATTTAATATTGGTCATTTATATTGTAGAAATGTTAAATTATTTTTGAAATTGAAGCATTCTAGACTGAGAAAAGGCAGAAAATGTATTTTTTTACTCAAAGACAACAACTTCCTGAATGCACTTCCTTTGCTGCCCTTAAGAGGCCACTCCCAAAACACACCTACCATTTAGGACGGCAGAATCCGAAAAATGGATACAACTAGATTTGTTTTGATATATCGTAAGTTATTTGATAAATTTCCATCAAATAACTTATCACACCATCAAATAACTTATAACACACCATCGAAATGGTGCTAAATTGCATTTTACCGGGATGTACAAGCCTAATGTATATAACACAACTTAGACTTTCACATTAAAAATATAATGCAAGGCAGGACCATGTCAACAGAGTAGTTTAAGCTCTGCATATGAACTGTTTTCCTCCAATTGAAATCACTATTTCTCTAAGCTAATACATTATCGAGGCAAATCCATTCTCTAGTAACACTAAAGGTTTATAAAAAGAACCACAACCAATGTGAGTTATGACTTTTAATTAAAATATAATTAATATTAACACTTTTACACTCAAAGCTCTGTGTATTCAGCGATCTCGTCCAGAAGAAAATGGCATCACTGAGATTTGCGACAGCAATAGGACTCTGTATCTGTTTCCATAGGCCGGGCTTAGGTGTCACTCCGGCCGCCTCTTGTTCCTCCATCTCTCGCAACTGTTTATCGCTGTATTGCGGCTCGTACATCATATTCTCGCAACAGATCTTCGAAACCATTTCAACTTCAAAACTACCTTCCATCATCGTGATAGCCTACTATACAAACTTTCTACACAGACCAAGAGGCAAAAGCCTGTTAGCTTAGCTTCTACAGAAAGATGGCTGACACTAGGGCTGTCGCGGTTATGGAATTTCCCTTGCGGTAATGTTGAGTGGCTCAATAGCGCGATATGCGGTATTACCGCCATTTATTTATTTATTTATTTAATTCATTTATATGTTTTTGTTGCTATATAAATAATGTTTACGATGTGGACAAAAACGAGGACATTTTCAGTAACCAATGTAACCGAAACTAAACAGCGTCTACAGTATATGAGCATTGAAAGACTTTCACTCAGCTCGCATATTGTTATGACAACGGACTTTGAGCGAGTCATTGAACCGTTCATTCAACGAACACGTTTAAAAAAGCTGATTCAACAAGATGTTATTTATTTTTAACTTTGAGATTCAACTTTTCAAGGCTTTGAGATTCAACGTCGCATAGGCAATGCTGAAGCTGATGCTTCACTTATTAGAGACCCATTGATTCAATGCGTGACTCACTGATTTTATTTCGGCTTCCTTGTGTTGTGGGATGCTGACCAGAGCTGCTGCTGACGCGCATTTATGGGAAAATACCCGTGAAGAGAACGTTAAAATGATGATGCGACAAATTTTTCGCTTCCCTTTGACACGACAAGCTTTTCACGACTTTAAAGACAGACGCAGGTAATTGCACGCGCAGCGCGTGACGCGCTCTGCCGATCTCTCTCATTCACTGTCTGTGTGAAGCCTGTAGGCTACACATCACCATGATAAACAGTCTTGTTATCGTTATGAACTTGTTTAACATTCAATACACATGCATTAAGTTCAAAACAAGAAGGGTATAGCCTTATAAAAAAAAAACGTGAATATCGCGGTTGCTGCGGTTACGTGCTATCCTCTGCGGTTGACTTGTCAGAAGCGCGGTACCACAATATTGCGGTTACCGCGACAGCCCTAGCTGACACTATCTTTACATTCTATGAATGAGATCCCGCCCCGTATGGGCGTGGTGAAAAAATGCGGAACTCTGGCTGTAGTCTTTAGCACAAAAATCCTCCGATGACGCAAAATGACGATTTCCAGACTAAAAATGTATTTTTCTCTCATATCAGGGGGATATGAGGGGGGAGAGCATGGTAATTCGGAAATACTAGTATACAAAGCTTAATGCTAAACCTGAAGTATCCCTTTAAATGCTCTCAACAGCCCAAACTCTTTCTCCTGCCAAATTCACCATTCGCTTATAATAAAAATTTTGTTCAAGTTTCCATGTGTACAAACCTAGTATATTCACAATATACATGAGGAAGGATCTAGGACATTATGTGTCCTCATCTTCTGTTTTTATGACTATGTGTTGCAAACAAAGAAATTCTTGTCTAGTGTTAACGTGAGAAAGGGTTGTAGTTTGGGCCATTGTAAATTGAAACAAATCAAAAGCCTAATTTCCATGGGATATGTTACACTGTCTAGTTTCACTGTATATTTTCTCTGCAGGCAATACATGTGTCAAAATATGTGGCTTTTTTGGTGTGGTTATTCACACAGTCAGCTGAGTTTCTCATGATGAAAAATCCACTTTGGTTGCTGCTTTCTGTGGAAAGTCTGGAAGGAGTTTTGACACTTGCTCTGTGCGACATGGGTCCTCGAGCTGTCATAAACTCAGCTGTTTCAGTGGAAAATATAAGCTGTTCTTTTTAAATTCACATTCCCTGAGCAAACCTATTCTGATATCAAAACCACAGCTAGGGTCTTAAAAACAAAACACTGACTCATTTAGAAACGTTCTTGAAAGTTGGAGCCCACTTCCTAACATAATATCTGCCATTTAAGTGGACAAATAAGTGACATCGGCCTATGAGTCATGCTCAGTTTCTGAAAGCTTGAAATGCAGCCAAGTCCTGGACTTACCCTCTGGTCAGTTTTGACTATTATTATTAGGTAGACTATGTGCTCTCCACACCTTGTGTCATGGCCCATTTTCCACCTTTACACACATTTCTATATGATCATTTGCCAAGAAATAGATTGCAGATCATTTTATTTTCCATTATTAATTGCAGATTATAAATCCATTACAATGACGGAAAATAATACTTCATTTGCTTTGGGGTTAGATACAAATCTAGTTTGCCATTCGACTAAATAATGACCTGTACATAATGTGTAATAATTTTATCCACAAAGTTATTTTTAAGTTCTTAATTTACCAGTACATAAATGGTAAATACAAGAATTGGATTTTCTTTACATTGACGGTAACACTTTACAATAAGGTTCATTAGTTAACTACATTAGTTAACATTAACTAATAATGAATAATACTTCTTCAGCATTTGTTAATTTTGTTAATGTTAATTTCAACATTTACTAATACTTCATTAAAATCTTGTTAACATTAGTTAATGCGAACTAACATGAACAAACAATGAACAGCTGGATTTGTATTAACTAATGTTAATAAAGATTAACAAGTACATTAACAAATGTATTGCTCATGGTTAGTTCATGTTAGTTAAACATTAACTAATGTTTAATAAATGAACCTTATTGTAAAGTGTTACCCATCAAATTAAGGCAAATTCAGTTGTAAACTGAACTATAAAAACTTTATTTGCAGTAGATGATATTTTTCTAGCTGTAACTTTTACGTTTGATTATTTGCTGATCTTAAACAGTAAATAACAACCTAAATGTGTCATTACAGTAACGGTAGATAATTTGTCATAACTTTGATGGACTTAGCTAATATTTAGGATATTTAGCCATTTGATAATGAGGAATTCAACTTGTTGTACGCTTCTGACTGGAAAGAAATATTTCGAAACATGTAACTAGCTATAATGTTTATAATAATAACACCTGCCAGGTGCTTTCCACCCATATGCATATACACAAAATACAGAAACACAATGCTGCTCAGTTCACTATTTTCCATTTACCATGTTTCTTCCTCTTTGTTATTTGGTTTCATGTTTTGTTTTATTTTTTCCATTCTCTAATAAAAGGCTTTGTTCCTCTGGAATCACAGCTTTTGACTAAAACGTCTGCACACATGACTGACAGATGCCTATAGCGTAGATCTCTCTTATCTCTTTACCAGATTGAGAGGTGGAAAGTTTGTGTGGAAAGTATGGGAAGAATGTTCACTTCAAGGTTTTACATAATTTGTCAGTTAATAGAGATAAAAGAAATGTGCTTGTGATTATGTGCATGGACTGAAGAATAGTCAGAGTTAGTTCTGTTCTGTACAGTTTTGAATGTTAAAAACCATCGAAATCCGTCTCCAGCATCCCACAACGTTTACCAGTGCAGTTTTTCCATCTTCTGTATAGGCTACTCTCTATTCTCCTCTGTAATAAAATGCCAATAATGATAAATATAAAAAATATTTTAGAAAGAAGTCTCATACTCGTATAGAAGGCTGTTATAATTTATTTTTTTAAGTAAAATGGCAATATTGTTACAATTTAAATTAACTGTTTTCTGTTTAATATATTTTAAAATGTAATAATGGCAAAGCTGTCGGATGATATTACAGAAACCATTTTAATATAGCCTACTGATTTGGTGTGCAAGAAACATTGTTTAATGATATACTATCATATAAAAATTGTAGTGCTTAATATTTTTGTGGAAACCTTGACCACTTTTTTTTCAGTATTCTTTGATGAATTGAAAGTTCAAAAGAACAACATTTATTTGAATTAGAAATCTTTTTTAAGATTATATTGTGGTATTTGTATTTTGTATTATTTTCTGTCAATGCTGTCCACAGACCAGTTTTTTTTTTTTTTTTTTTTTTGAGAATTGCATTTTTAAGTGTTATTCTAAAAGATTACTCTGTGCATCAGCTTCATTGTCGTCACTTTCAGTATAGACCATTTCAAAAGATGTAAACAACACTGGTCCAGAAACACTTCCTGTTTCAGTTTGTAACTGTTTTCTTTATTTCACATGTAAAGAAAACATCTTAAAGATGTTTGTTTAACTTTTTGATTCAGTTTTAAATGTTCTGTTGGTTGTATTTTATCCCAGCTTTTATGTAGTGTTAAAAAACTGAAACAGGAAGTGCTTCTGGACCAGTGTTGTTTACATCTTTTGAAATGGTCTATAGTAGTCTCGATACACAATCGAGAGGGAGGTTAGTGTTTCTATACTAGTATTAGAACAATTTTCCAATACAGTAATGCTAATACTCGCAATACTCGGAGAGAATAACGTCATGCAGATCAGTGTTAAAAATAACCCTGACGATGTGACCGCTGAATGCCACTTTAACAGAGATAGCGAGAGAAAAGCTGCTCTTCAATAATAACAGGACAAATCCACTGCCCCTGGAGTCAGACAGGAGAAAACGAGAGGAATTAACACCCATGGAAAATATGCTGCGGGCAGCGCTTGATAACACAGCTGCCCTTCTGCCCAGCTCAGCTGATTTAGATTTTCCATCAAGATGGGAGGGGAAGCGTAAAAGAGATAGCCTATGCTACAGTGAGATGAGCGATACAGAACATTGTTTTAACACACCGTGTGTCCTGAAATAGTGTGACTGGCCGAACTGAATCTGAGCTCGCTGCATGGAAAGCCGTGTCTCATAGTTTCCAGGACTTGCACTCTCGGGGTGTGTGTCTATGATTAGTCAGCAGAGCCATTCGTTTCTGTACAGAATGGAAAAGTGAGGCGGAGTCTGTGGTGGGCGGAGCCTGTTGTTGTGCGGTTGAGGGACTTTTATATAAAACGAGACGGATGAGTGACCTGCAGTCTTACGAAGCATTCCCGACGTTATATCGGTGCTGCGGGAGCACGGACTATTCCAGAAGATTCTCTCTCAACAAAACAGCGTCACGTGACCACAGTAGCCTACAAAGACGCTGGGCTTATAGCTATTTCCTTTACTCAGTTTGACCCATTTCCTTTCTGCAAATGCTCAAGGCTCTCTGCGGAACTGAGACCACCAGAGAAGGACAGGGAAAGCAGGAGCGAAGAGGTTGATTTCGAAAGCATTTGTTTCCTAAAGCAGGCGTCATTCGTGTCCTCACGCTGGGGAAGTCAAAACGGACACGTCTCAACCCCTCCTGCCCTTTACGTTCTCTAACCTCTCAAGTCCTCCGGAGGATCCGTCAACGGGCTTCAATCATGCACCTGAAAACCATGAAGTGCAACCCTTTCTGCCTTATCGCCTCCTTAGAGGACCTGGATATGTTTAACAGACCCGAAGAGAGGGTAAGGCTTCATTGACATGGTGCCTTACAGTATTTAAATAGCTTGAGTACGTTAAATACTAAACATACATTAAACTGCTGGAATAGGCTAGGGTAGTTTCAGCCATTAATTAGAATGAATGACAATCATAAAAATAGATCCGAAAGCTGTTTGAATACGCTTATATAACCTTTTGTCTTTATTGATGATGGCTAATTTATTTGATTTGTGCTTTATGTGTGGTTTGGGGTTGACCAAATGACCTACTTGTGTATCATTTAGCTAAATTGGTCTGTGGTTGGGGTGGTTAGATCATGGAATAAGATGCTGTTGGAACATTTAATGAGCGTATGGACAGTTTGGGCACGTAAGCTCTTACGCACACACACTACTAGTACTACACCCAATAGGAATAACCCAGGATTTGTGGATCATACTCTACTAAATCTGTGCATTGCTTGAAATGGTCCATCATGATAGTCCATCTGCATGTGCAGTAAGTCTCTGTTACCTTGGAAACCAATATCTAGTCGAGCACCACTGACAGATGTGGTCATTTTTAGGATGTGTATTAGATTAGTACTATGTGCGTCAGTAAGGTTTAATTTAGAAGCAATCTGGCAGTATCCCCGAAAACAAGATAAATGGATTCAGAGCCATAAAGTCTTATAAGAGCGGAGTCTCGCCACAGGGTGGTTGATAATCTAGTGGTCTAGGAAGGATTAAGGTTTATATATATATATAAGGTTGCCAGTTTGAGCCTAAATGAAGGTACACTTTCAAAACACTTGACATCATTGCTCAACAGGGAATCTATGTTTATGTACTCTTCTTGCTTCAACAGCAAAATGTTCATTTCTTACTGCTGTTTCCATGAAGATGCATCAAATGTATTCATTTGAGGTGTTTTCCTCTCATCCACAGGCTAGTTTTGAGGATCTGTTCCGTGCCTTTGACCGAAACGTCACCTTCCAGTTCTTCAAGAGTTTCCGTCGGGTGAGGATAAACTTTACCAATGCTCTGGCCGCTGCGGAGGCAAGAGCAAAACTCCACAAAACTGACTTCAACGGCAGGGAGGTGCGACTCTATTTTGCCCAGGTATGTCACCTAAAAGTAGCCTATAAAAATGTGTTTTGTGTGTAAAATAGTATTATTTGTATATATTAATATAATAAAATGATTATATAATTGTATTATTTAGTTACAAAAAATATCTTTATTTAAAAAAAAAAAACTTGATTCTGAATTGTTAGATTCATTCTGCAGTCAGATGTTTGTATAAATGACTTTTCACTTTGCGTCTTGGTTTATTTGACAATTTAACTGACTGTATAAACAAAACAACTAAATAATAACATTGTTATTATATAGTATATCATTTAATGCATATTTGTATTATTATTTTGTTTTATTTTTCTATTATAAATATTTTTATTTATTTATTTATTTGTTTACAGTGATGACTGCTAAACTCTAATGCCTTTCCACCTTTGTCAGGATTTTTTTTTATTTTTTTTTTGCAATAAGGACCAACTGACTGTACATTATTCCTTAAATAATACTGTGTATTGCATCACACCCTTTTTGCCTGCTTTTTGTGTACTTATTATCACACAAAAAAACCCAACAAAAAAAAACTTTTCTTTTTCCTAGTCTGTGCACATTGGCAGTCCACACCTGGAACCTCCTAAACCAGATAAGCAGTTCCTCTTGTCCCCTCCTCCGTCACCTCCTGTGGGTTGGGAGCAGGCAAAGGACGCCACGCCTGTCATTAACTATGACCTTCTGTGTGCCATCTCCAGACTAGGGCCAGGTACAACGCACGTAACATCTCACATTCTCAATCTTTTTTTCTGAATGGTCCATACTTCTGAAATAGGTCAGCGAGCGATTAAATTATTAATTTCATTTGGCCTGATTTGAACTTTAAAGAATAAATTCTCTCTGTACGGCAGGTGAAAAGTATGAGCTCCAGCCAGGAACTCCCACCACTCCCAGCGTGGTTGTTCATGTTTGCGAAAACGATCAAGAAAGCTCAGGAAATGAGGAGGATATGGATGGTGGCAGACGTCCACGTCCAAAAATCATCCAGACCCGTCGTCCAGAATATACGGTCATGCAGTGATCCTAGGGAACCTCATTGTGCCATAATTTTTGCTTTACTATCACAAGACCCTTTGGGGGATATACAGAGGCACGCAGTTGGTTCTCCAGACCACTAGAGGACGCCTTAAGACAGAACCTCAGCCCTGTGGAGAGAGACATAGTGTATATGTCCACTGTCTCATAGGACAATGGGGTTCACTGCATGCGTTCGTTCGGTGGTAGAGTGACTCATTTTTCCGCAGGCTGGGGGTTTTCAAGGGTGCTTTCATCGGTAACTGTGGCCATGGAGAACATCAGTCTCATATTGTGTAGTGTTTTTTTGTATCATGGGAAGCATGTTGAATCCCAGTCATTGGGTTTGTTGATATTACTTTGTATTTCCTTTTAGTTTAGCTTGATATTTGCAAGCTCTTATTTAATTAACACTCAAGTGAAAGATTATTGGAACTTGAACTCGAGTAAATGCTGACTATGAAGTAAATATTTTGTCATAAAATGTGGGTGGGGGTAGGGGGTATTTTTTCCATTCATATGGCAATTGTAAGTCTCATTCCACCTTGTGCCTCAACATGTTCCTAAATTACAGAATCATGGTTAGGGTATATGAGAGTCCATTGTTTTAACGCACAAAACTGACTTTTTAAAATAATCCCAAAGTAGTCTTTAAGATGCGTTTTTAGGATGTACTGGAAGGAATGGTCCTCAATGTCATGTACTTAAATAATTTGTTGGACCATAACACTGTAATCAGTTTTGATCGAGGACTATTAACACTTTACCAAAAAGAACATCAATTGATTTTATTACATGGAGCTTAATAATATATTTCTGATGCCTTTTACTGTTTGTAATGTCTGTATATAATGGTATATGTTTTTTTTTTTTTTGTATTTTACTTGATTTTAAAAATGTCACTGACTTAGAAATGGCTTGGGTGTTTGTCCTGTCATAAATAACAGCCATAACATGTCATTAAAATAAGTTGTTTTTCTTCACAAAGTTGTTCTGCCCTTTTATTTTCCCTTTTTTTTAAGCAAAACTGTATTTTAGTCTGCAATATTGTGAGTGTTGTGTTGTCTTTCAGCCCACATGCCTCTTCGTTTTATGCATTTAGTTATTTTCAAAAGATGACTCAGCGTACATCCAGTATGCTGGTATCGCAATCATGACGCAAGTCGAGGACTTTTCAAGGATATGTCTCTCTTTCTTTTTTTTCCTTGAAATAGAATCTGTAAAAGTCTCGAATGCCTGCCTCAATGTACGCCATTGTTCAACTTGTGTGTGGAGTTATTTAGCATCAAGGTCAAGCTGGCAGAGGTGAGAGAAATATCTACAGTCTCCATGTGACTCATGGCCATTTTCACCAACATAACTGTTAATGAGGCTGATCTTTGTGGAATTTCTTTGGTCCGCTAAGTCTCAGACTCTGACTTCTCTCCCTGAAAAAGCTGATGACCTTGGCTTGTTAGATTCATTAAAGCTGTTGACATCTTAAGAGGGTTGGATCATTGAGTAAGTCTCTCCATGTTCATAATGGGGTGGAACCCTGATTTTAGATACTATCCTGTCTCCCTTAGTCTATTTTTTAAAGTACGACACGAGGACTTGCAGGATTGATTCACAATTTTTGGCTTCTCTTCCAGTAAACCAAAAGTTCATATTTCCACCAAAGACTATAAGGTATGTTTGTTATAATTATTTTTATATTATAGCGTTCAATGCTGATTTGATGCTCAACTTTTTATCAATATTGAACCATTATGCTGCTTAACACTACTGTGGAAACGGTAACTTTTTTTCCACATCTTTTCCAAATATACATCTTTTGTTACATTATACATGTCTTTAATGTCCCTTTTAGTCACTTTAATGCATTATTGCTGAATAAAAGTATTGGTGTTTTTTTTCTTACTCTTATGTGTATACATAAGTAAAATTATTTTTAAACGTTTAGGCTTTAGCATTTAGATCAAAATAGTAAGATGATGAGAAATAAATTCAACCAAGTGTGTTCAAACTTTTGACTGCTTTAATATATTTGGCTATAAGTATTCTAACAGATAAATAAGTTGTGAAAAATACTAATGATGGATCCTATCTTTTTGCTGTCTGTATCAACAGTGGGAATAATGCTAGAGCAGAACTACACCGTTGTGCATTCTCTGCTGGTATCCTGGTTGCAGCAATACTTTAATGAGACATGGGCGATGGGAGCAGCTCCATACGTGCCTCCACATCATCCACCTTTGCATCTGAGTGGAACTCCGATAAATGATCAAGGTCACGGCATGATCTACATCTGTCTGATGGTGGGACTCTTCAGTTTCTTTACCTTTGGCATCATGTTCAGCTATATCCGCTCAAAGAAGGTGGAGAACTCACAGGATCCGTATCATCAGTATATAGCTAAAGACTGGGATAGTATAGCATCTCCTGTGGTCATCAGCAACCCGTCTGCTCTGGGACACCTTCCAGGGTACAGTGGACAACATCAGGAGTGGGCCTAGATTGCTGTTGTTGACGTCTTTAATCTCTACGTAATATAAATCTGATTTTCTGTTTCATTAAATGAAAAAAAAAAAATATATATATATATATAAATATATTTATTTGTCTCTGTTGTTCATTTAATTGAATTCAACATTGAGTTTTGTTTTATAAATGGCAAAGGTTCATCTCAACTGCAGTCTTAAAAGAGTAGTTCACTTTAAAAAAAAAAAAAAAAAAGTTTGCTGATAATTTACTCACCCCCATGTCATCCAAGATATCCATGTCATTCTTTCTTCAAGGTTTTTGATGAAAACATTTCAGGATTTTGTCCATATAATGGACTTTACTGGTAACCAAATAAGGTCCAAAAGACAGTTTCAGTACAAACTGCAAACTGTTCAAAGGCCTTTAAACGATTTCAGACGATGAATAAGGGTCCTATCAAGCAAAACGATCGCTCATTTAAAAAAAAAATATATATATATATTTTCGTGTCATTTGGTTCATTCAACGAACAAAATGATTGAATTGACTCGAGAAAAGGTTCGTTCATTTTGATCGAGTTCAAACAGGAGAGTCACGAACGCGCATCACAGAACAGAGCAAGGCGACCATTTGAGCTTATAAAACTTAAACTTTGTCTAAATGAGTGATCGTTTCGCTTGATAAGACGCTTATTCATCGTCTGGAATCATTTAAAGCCCTTTGAACAGTTTGCACTGAAACTGTCTTTTGGACCTTGAACCGTTTGGTTACCAGTAAAGTGCATTATATGGAGAAAAATCCTGGAATGTTTTCATCAAAAACCTTTCTTTTCTTTCAAAAGCATTTCTTATCAAAAATATTTATTTTCGACTGAAGAAAGAAAGAAATACACGAATATCTTGGATGACATGGGGGTGAGTAAATTAACAGCAAAAGTTTGTTTTTTTTAAAAAGTGAACTACTCCTTTAAGACTACAAACACAAAAACCAGTCTCCAACAGTTGAGGGATTTTGTTGGATCAGTGTGTTATTCCTGTAGGCATTTGTTGTCAAAAAATGAACTTGTGCAATTGGCTTCTGTAGGTCATCGAATGTTTGAGATGTCAGGTAGGATTTTCCAACAATGTGTTACATAATTTGACTCGATCATGAATGATTAGCATGGTAATGAGATAATCTACTTCAAATAAATGTCATTCTATTTTTTGGCTATTTATCAAAAAATCTTGAATTTTTTTTTTTTATTTATTAAGCAGCAAAACCATTTTTAAAATTGATAATAATAAGAAATGTCAGCATATTAGAATGATTTCTGAAGGATCATTTGATTTGAGTAATCATGCTATAATTCAGCTTTGCCATTACAATAAATTACATTTAAAGTATATTCAAATAGAAATCCATTATTTTAAATTGTAATATTTTACAATATTACTGTTTATAATTATAATTGAAATAACAATAATTGTTTAATAATTTATTATATTTTTTATAATAAGAACAGGGAATGGGCAAATACATTTGAATCACACTAATAGTAGGCCAATAAGTGAATTACAACTCTGCATTTTTTAATGCAGTCTCATTTAAGTAGATTCTGCATCCAGGTGATGAGTCCTTGTCTGGTGTGCTGAGATGTTCTTGCTATCTCCTTCTGCTCATCTTGCTTCATTTCTTTTTCTTTTTCCTTCTCTTGCCTGAGAAGCTGATCAGTTTTCAGTATTTTCGCCAGCTCTCTCTTTAGACTGTAATGCACCATCTGCCTGCTCATGAGAGGGACAATCAGGTTGAAATTGTCCACTTTCTTGTTGAGTTTCCCCAGTTCATCTGCAAATACAGCACAGTGCTCCTTCCACTGGAGGGTTTCAGAGTGTGTCATGGGTTCCCCCAGCCTGGCCCTGACCTTCTGCAACTTTTCCCTAATTTTGGCTATGGTTTCCCTGATCTCCTTCTGTACCACAATCCATTCAGGCTGGTAGCCGTTGTCGATGAGGATTCTGTTGAGGTTGTGCGTCATGGGGTCCATATAGGGGTTATGATCAAACTTGTTGAGTGGTTTGCCGGTGCCACTGAGGTTCTGGAAGTCTCCACGGGCCATAGACTCCTGAATGAGGTCTTCAACCAGCCTTTCTACCGCCTGAGTGATTTTGATCTTCTTGCTGCGCAAGCGTGCATCCCTAGTCACCATGGCTCCTTCATCCGCTGCCGCCTTCTCCATCTCCTTGCGTCTGTACTCCAGAACCTGGTCGGTGGCACGGTCAACGCGAATCTGCCGGTACTGTCGTTCTCTTTGACTGGGAGTGCCAGAACCCACTCCTTCAAAACTGAGGTAACGTCTATGTTGAGGGGCATTACCTTTAACTTTATCTTCCTCTTCTTCCTCCAGCGATTGGTCGAACTGTGAGACAGACTTCTGCCGGCCGAGATGAGTGAGCACAGCCCGATAGGCCTCGTCTATCTGGGAAAAAAGAGCTGCATCTGCCGTGGGAGCACCGGAATCTGGATGGTATAATTTGGCCATGCGTAGGTAAGCCTCCTTGACCTCGGCAGGGCCGCTGGCTCCATCGTCAGGCAGCTGCAGCAGTCGGTAGCTCTCTCTCAAACTAGCTCTAGAGCTGAGGGCTCGCAGGCTGAGGGAACAGTACAGAGGCAGTAGAGAAATGCGAAGGTCCGCGCTGTGTAACCGTAACAATACCCAGCAGTTCATTGTGCCAATATGCAAGCAGAACCGGAATACTGAAATTACAAGATAAAGCTAAAAATAATTAACACTTGAGTAACATTTATGTATTCACACATTGCTTTACAATGAAACTATCAAACTAAACACTAAAAGTTGTACAAGATATATTAATATCGCAATATTTCACTGGAAAAAAAAATCTAAGATTTAAGACAAATATAATAATATTAGTCTAAAAAAGTTAATAATAAATCGACAGCACTATTATTTATGATATGTCTCCTGATATCTTCAAAAGTTAAACCATCGAGCTTTTATTTTGGCGGAAAACGTCAATGAAAATTAGGGGGGCCCATTATTTACAATTCATGTAGGCTACTTGTTAGCATATAGCTTATTGCTATACGCCAGATTTTATAGTGTTGTCAATAACCCGTGCGCTAGTGTTTCTAGATGATTACGATAAACATATTTGATTATTAGTCGACAAAATACTCCAGTGTTATTGGACAGGTTTGTAGCATGAGAGCTAATGCTCAAAACTACATATCAAACATGAACATCGGATCATTCAGCCTAAAAACAGTAACAACAAGGACATACCTTGCTCGGATTTCTCCACTGCAGCGTGAGTTAGGTCACCATGTATTTAGGTTATATGAATGACACCGTTTAAAAAAACAAATGCACTGGAGTTTGTTGTTATATATTAATGGCGAATAGTTTGCTGGGAAATGTAGTCTGTCAGGGTAAAACGCGTTATCTATTTTTTTCCTTTAGATGGCGACAAAAATCAACACTACTCAGTAGGCGAATTTTAGAGACATTCATAACAGGCTTCATTCTTTCTCGTTTAAAAAAAATATTTATTAAAAATATATCTAGCTCTGTCCTCTTTGCACGGTGATTTAGTATGGAGAAAATGTGACCATTCTGTAAACAATCCAGGGCCAGGGTGTGTTTCCCAAAAGAATTGTGAGCTAACTTGATCATAGAGACAGGTCTTTGGTGCAGTTCTGTGATCTAGGCTTACAATGCTTTTGAGAGATGCCGCCCAGGCTGGTTTGAGGTGTGTTTATTCCAGCAGGGTTCATTATTTGCTCCATCTAATTGCATAAATAAGTGTTAGGCCTATTTATGATGTTAATGAATTGGTATTACATGGCTATAATAAGACCCAGATGACATTAGTTCACTTTCTCTCCACCACTGACAGCAGACAGTTAATGTGTGTTAATGGGTGGAGTGCAAGTGATGGAACAATGTTTTTTTTTTTTTTCTATATTGCAATCACATGACCTCTACTAAATTGGACCATGTAAGCAGTCAGCCAATTCATGCACATGTTGTGCATTGTGGTGAATGAGAATGACATACTGAGGGGTCCAGAAGTCAATTTCATTAAAAATGATCACCATTGTCATTATACTGTCCCTCTTTTACTGTAATGACTGTGCTCAAGCTACATGAACTCATTAATTTTTCTAATTCATTTTATGCCAGAGCACCTTTTTATTTTTATTTTATTCATCCTAGGTTTAAAAGTGGCCTCAGATTTTTGGACTCCAATGTCGATTGGTTTTATTATTATTTTTTCAAAATACTAAAAAAAAAAAAATTGCAGGCTTAATAAAACAAAACAAAAAAAATAATAAATAAAGGATTCAAGTGGTCTTAGATGTTTATTTTTTTAATTATATTTATATAATATCTATTTGATGATATTGCTGAAAATGTGATATATTCAGACTGACGTAAAAGCACAATTTTTAGAAATCGTCTAGTTGCATGTTTGTTTATACATCTACGTCTTATGAAGACTAGATTAAAACGAAACAATTGTTTTCATTCACATTTCTCTATGTGTGTGATCTGCCATGTGAGTAAGCAATTGGTGAACTCATTTGCCCAGAGGAACATGGGAGCTTTTTAGCATCTCATAAATCAATATTGTGAGATCAATGGGTCTCTGTCGAAGTGCTTTTCCCTTGTGCAATCTGTGTCACACATGCACTGGGACACAAAAGAACTGCAAAAAAGAACCACAAAGACCTTATTTCAAGCTCTGCTGCTGGAAAGAAGTCCTAAAAATAGTATTCGAAGAGAACACCGATTCTAAGGATAAACTACAAAATGACCAACTTTACAGATGAAGATCTGGACAACTATTTGCAAAATCAGGTGACCTATTTATGCTGTCATGGGTTATATTAAGCACTGAGATCTAAAACGGAATACTTAACTGTTGTTGATTGATAATATGTTAATTTTATTTGCAGTTAGATAGCTTAAAAAATAACTCTGGGTATAGCTTAAAGAATTTTACATTTTATTTTAATTATTCAGCTAGCTTTAAGGACACTGTTTTGGCTTGTTTACAAGATACTTGTTCTGTATTAATGGTGGTCGAATGTGTTATTGTCAGGTGGATCTCAGACATCGGCAGGTTTCAAAGTCTGTAGAAAATGTGCAGAAAATCATAAAAGATCTTACGGCTGCGGTCAGCTCAAAGGATGCTCGTTTCCAGTCCATTGCAAACTCTGGAGTTCATAAT